ACATTACCCAGAGGAAATCTATAGTGTCTCTCGGGATCATTTATCACAAAGGTTATCACTGCATTGTTAACGGCTGTGTGTGTGTGTGTGTGTGTGTGTGTGTGTGTGTGTGTGTGTGTGTGTGTGTGTGTGTGTGTGTGTGTGTATCCTGGTGTCACAGGCAGATCATAGGAGAGAGTAAAAATACCACTGATCTAAGAAGAAGAGGGCTTGTAATATGTGTGTAAGCTCATGTTTTCTTGCACACACAGATGCATAGGAAGTGTCCAAGCAGAGTGTAATAATCTGTGAAGGGGCTAGAAGTTGTATGCAGAGGTATTAACAACAGTGCCTGGACTCAGAGTGTATACCTGAGTTTGTGGAAAAGGACATTTGTGTAAGAAGTGGTGTGAAATTGTGAGGATTTCTGTTGAGAATAGTCACTGCAGCTATTAAATGTGGCCGCTGGAGTAAAGTGGAGCATTATGTGGCTGTGGAGTTCAAAGAAATCGACGCGTTGTTGTTCAGAAAATCATTGCCCAGGGCAGTGTTCTGGATATGGCTGGTACAAGCAAGTGATGAATAAGAGGAAGGGGTTGCATTGTAGCTTTTCCCCTCTTCCTCCTGTCATCTATTGACACGTGTGCGTGTTTCTGGTACATTCATACATTATGAGAAAGAGAGAAAACATCATTAGCCCGCTTATTCCAGATCAGTTTGTGTGTAGTTGACTCGCTCTGATGTCCTGAAAAGTGACGGAGCCGCAGAGACCGAACAGTCCTCATTGTACGTGTGTGTGTGTGTCTGTGTGTGTGTGTGTGTGTGTGTGTGTGTGTGTGTGTGTGTGTGTGTGTGTGTGTGTGTGTGTGTGTGTCCAATATGGGATTTCTGATGGTGACACAGAGTCCGATCAACCTGCTGATGTACAGTATATTATGTTTTTACTTTGTTGTTTCTTTTAGAGTTTTCTTTAGTTTTGTACATCATGAATCATAAGCAATAAAGAACATAAGGATGAACAATGTATGATAAGTAGTTTTCTAAGACTTGTAAATACTGAGAGAGTGACTTGAATTCTTGAGCTGTAGAACAAGGATTCTTACAGTATATATATATATATAAAGTACAAAGGTAAATATTGTAAGAATTTTTATACCACAAATACTGGAAATATTGTAACTGTCTCAAAACACTTGTTTTAAACGTAACATAAGTGCTTTTTTGCTCAAGTGCATTCATCAGGGTGTTAACAGTATCTGCTGGCTCAGTTCATTAACTTAAAGTTATAACCGTTGAACGTTTCATGATATCAAGCCCCATTTAAGGTCACCATTTCCCATTCAATTGTACTATATTTATTTTCTGTATTTATCCTTTTACCCACTTGTTTTCATTGTTAGTGGCAGAGTCTGCCATTTAAGCACAAGAGTTGGACAGGAAAATGATGCATCTCATTGATAACGTTACTGTTCCCTCTCCTGACGTCCATCAGAGCTGTATTTAAGTTACTGCTAATGCTAACTGAATATTTCCTACTGCTGCTATTTCACATTAAAAGCATTCAAATGTTGAAACACGGGGTGGCTTTTATTGTGAAGGTTGCGATTATTATTCACTAAAGTATTTCTGAAAACTACATTGGTACAGAAGGAACTCTTCTGTTGTGTTTCTAACAGAGGAACTATTCAACAAGTGTTTAATGTGGTATTGATGCTTCCAAGATAGACAGCTATATCAACCAAGACAAAACTCCAACTGAAATCCCTTTTTGCATTTTAAAATAGTGTTTCAAATAAAATGGAAGACATAGAAATGCTCCCTCTCAGTCTCAGCTGGCTCAAGGAATGTGTGTTAGTTTGATTGACAGCAGCTAGCAGAGTGCCGGTGTTACACCATAGGAAACATGAGACACAGTAAACCTACACTGTAGCCTATACATGTCCTGGGCAGAGGGCGTGTAAAGAGACATAAAGGAGAGAAGGACCCACCAGCTGCTAAACTGAACAAGGTACATTTACAGATGGAAGGAGTCTCTGCCTGTATGTATACATGTATTTCCAAACATTTTCTAAACAAGTGTTCATCCGATTGAATTCTCACTTGCTGAAGACCATTGAAGGGCTGTGTTGAGTGTGAGCTATTTATTTATTAGTATTAGCAGTGTGTTATTTACACACTATGTTATGAGGGATCCCTATACACTTTTTCATCGCTGTATGGCATGCTTGGTACAGCTCGTCGCTAACAGCAGTACATTGAAGAGTAACAAATAAAAACAGACCAGAAATCCATGAGATATTGTTATTAGTCATTTTCAATAAAGCCGTTAACTACCATTAACTGCTCACGACCGCAAGAGAGCACAGTGTTGAGTTTGAAGTGACATTTGTTTATGTTGTTATGTGATTGTTGTCGCCCATTCGTAAAGTTAAGGTGCAGGACAATACCTGCTTTACGTCATGTCTATAAGAAGGCGAGTTTAGCAGGAATACTAACGAGGGTTGTTGTTCTGAGTCTGATGTCTCTAATGACCGTCTGCTCTGCTTATGATAGAGTGTCGTCATTAAAGCTTCATGCAAGGGTTGATTGGCTGTATCAAACTCAGGTATCATCGAAAGATAGATATAATATGTAAACACAGGAAGTCATTAAAAGAGCAGATATATTATGTTACAAAAATTACTTCAGTTGGACTTTAAGGATTATATCTTTAACTGGTTCAAGATGATATGATATTGATTCTACATATAAACAGTTCCTCTAGGTGTTTGTGTGTGTGTGTGTGTGTGTGTGTGTGTGTGTGTGTGTGTGTGTGTGTGTGTGTGTGTGTGTGTGTGTGTGTGTGTGTGTGTGTGTGTGTGTGTGTGTGTGTGTGTGTGTGTGTGTTTTTAGGTGTGCATGTTGTGTGTGGAATTGCTGCAGTAGCATATTAAGGCTTAGTTTCACAGATAACATCATCTCAGTGAGGAATCTCATCTATTATTCTCACACACAGACACACACAAAAACATCACACACAACACAAAAGGACATGCATACACAAACAGCGGGCACAGGGAAAGGGTTAGGGGCTTAGAGCAGGAAGCAGAGGCTCACTGATGACTTCAATGGATGCACACATGAATATTTTAACTCCCCTCTCTGGCCTGACAACTTTTCTTCCCTCCCTTTATCTGTCCTCACACCCCGCTCCCACCTGCTTGGCACAGAGCAGTCCACCCTTCCACTTTCTTTTCACTCCCCCCTCCTCTCATTTCTGTTCTGCTGCCAACTGCTCAGCCACTGCACTGGCAAAGAGCAGTCTCTAATCCTTCACACGGCCCTCAAACTCTGCCTGCTGGATCTCAACTTTGGAGATCTTACAGCTTCCCGGTGAGAGAGACAGCAAGGAAAGCAGACAGACAGGCGGACAGACAGACAGACAGACAGGAATGGTATACTACTAAGAACACAAAACCCCAGAAGCGCAAGAGCAATGCTCGAGACAAAACATTTTGTGTTCACACAACCATTACTGTGTGTTTGTGAGTGTGTGTGGGTGTGTGCTCAGTCTGATCCCGTTATTTCTCTGAGGGCGATGTTAGAGCGTGAGCGTGAAGCAGAGAGGCCATCTAATGCAATAAGTCAATAACACATCCCATCATTGCATACACACATGCATGCACGTGTCACACACACACACACACACACACACACACACACACACACACACACACACACACACACACACACACACACACACACACACACACACACACACACACACACACACACACACTCAGCTCGAAACGGCCTCAGGGGGTCAAAGATGAGAGTTTTCTTTGTGGATCTTCTTTTTTTAAAACCATTTCCCTGTTGTAGATTTGAGTTTACTTGGTTTGAACTCACGCTAACAGCAGGGCTGCAGTGGACAACGTTGTGAAAGAGCTTTCCTGAAAATCACATGTTATTCAGGTTGAAGCAGGAGAGTCAAAAGTAAGAACTCAACAACTGTCACTATCAGCGTGACCCCACTTTGAGAGCTCATAAAAGCCTTTCTTTAGATGACATTGTGTGGGAGCAGAGGAGAGTGTGGCTGTCAGCAGGATTCCCTCTGCTTGCTTGCCCTTGAATGCCGTTAAAAGAAGCCTGAAACGAGATGAGCGGGGACTCACTTAAAAAAGGAAAACACAATCAGATCAGAAGTTGGCCATGCTAGAATGGATTTGTGAGATGGAAAATATTGGTATTTGTTGGTCTAATTCTCATGGTCTTTAACAATCAGAGATTTATTATATGCTTATATATTATTACAGAAATTAAAAGGATGATAAACGAAAAGATTTTTACTGTTTATCAGCTTTCAATACATAAAAGAGGGAAAACATGATGTTACTGACCACGGACAAAGTCGGGTGACAATACTTGATTTACAGAGAAATACAGTTAGTCGAAGTTACAAGCAATGTAACAAAAATAACTGCTAATCAATTCTTTCACTTTTATATAAGACTCAGAAAAGATACTGAAACCGGTACAATTCGAAGAAAATCAATGTAAATATCTTATTTTTTTGAAAAGTTGTATATATATAATTTAAGTTCCATTTAGTCTTTCACAAAGGGGGGGGGGGGGGTGAGAATGGGTTATGTNATAATGATGCCCTAGACACCAAAGACCTACATTACCCAGAGGAAATCTATAGTGTCTCTCGGGATCATTTATCACAAAGGTTATCACTGCATTGTTAACGGCTGTGTGTGTGTGTGTGTGTGTGTGTGTGTGTGTGTGTGTGTGTGTGTGTGTGTGTGTGTGTGTGTGTGTGTGTGTGTGTTCTGGCAACTTTTTGTTGCACACCTTTTCCTCTAGAGTAATTACCTTTTTACTCCCTTGTCTCTCCTGATATTCTGCCCTTCATCTTCAACATATATACTGATTACTCTCTGCCACTGCTCTCTTTTATACTACATATTTCACCATTAATCTCTTCTCTCCTTTTTCCTCTCTTCTATCTCCCTGCCCTCCCTCCTCTTCACCTACAGATGAAGGCCAGACGGTTTGCCACAGTCCCCCAGAGCTGGCGGGCCAGCGTTTGGCGGAGGTCGGCATGCAGCTGCGGGCAGACTGCCACCAAGGCCTGGGCTACTGGGACTACCTCTTCTTCATCGCCATCGGCTTCGTCATCTTCTCCGCCGGCACGGTGTCGGCCTGGGTGATGGGCGTGCTCATGGTGCTGTACGAGCGCTACAGCAAGAGGAAGAGCGAGGAGCTGGACAGCGATGACGAGGATGACAGGGGAGGGATGGGCGGAGGAGGAGGAGGAGGAGGAGGAGGGAACCAGGGGAATGGGGATCTGAGCAAGCCTAACATGCAGGTGTGACAGACTGAGGTCTACCAACATGAGGACAGAGAGGAAGAACGGGAAGTGATGAGAGGACGCTGAGAGCAAAATAAACCCAGATCTGACTGTCTCTCTTTGTCACAGATTTAGATAACGCAACATGCTCTTCACCATATTGGACAGAAAGTGTGTGTGTGTGTGTGTGTGTGTGTGTGTGTGTGTGTGTGTGTGTGTGTGTGTGTGTGTGTGTGTGTGTGTGTGAGAGAGACAGAAAGAGAGACAGACAGAGACAGCAATAAGGAGGACTATGCCTTCACTTCAGGAGTGCAGAATGACCTCTGAGATTATTGAGAGCAATAACCCCTGTGTGTACACACACACACACACACACACACACACACACACACACACACACACACACACACACACACACATACACACACACTGCCTATATCAGCACAGATTCTCCACGGAGATGCTGGTTTCTGTGAGTGGGCGGATGTAACCTCTCTTGAGTAACATTCTGTCAATGATGATTATAAAAAGACATGAGCCACACACACAAACACACATGTATTGGGGATCACAAAGAGAGTGATGACTTATCTCTGCTACAATAAAAAGGGAAAACAAGTACATTTCTGTATTAAGATGGGATTTCCCCGAATGCCTTTTGGCAACTCACTTGAAATAGTGAACAGTCACTGTCGTCTCCTGTAGACAGAATCTGTCCAGAAACAGTTTGGGATATGATCAAATAATTTGAATGTAAAAACTAAGAATGAACTTCTTCTACAAGTCACTGCTGGTGGGATTATCCTTTAAGTATTTCAGTTAAAGGCACCCTGTTGAGATTTTAAGCACTGGAGCATCAATTATTGAGGTCACATGGATGTAAGCAACGCTTGTTTCAATGCTTTCAACATATTTGTGAGCCTCAAGGATACAAACAATTACGTTTATGTGATCAATTCTGAATGTAAACATAAATTGTCTTAATTGACATGAGAACTCTGCAGGGTATCTTTAAATGGCAGTTTAACACCCCCCTGAAAACCTTTTTGGCGGGTTTCTACCTTGTGATGTAGAAGTGTACTCAGGGGTGTATCAGTAGACTCACTTCCAACTTTCCATCCAAATACTGCGCAAAATTAACTTCATTTCCAGAAAAATCTGCTAAAGAAAATGCAAATGAATGCCATTTCCATCGACTGAAACACATTTTAGTCAGGCTGAGATAAGAGTGTTGAGATGCAACTTAACCATTTAGGAAGTTTGGGTTAATCACAAATTATCTCTATCTGTCAAAACGTATCAGATGTTTTTAGTCTGCTGCCATCTTGTTTGTGATATAATATCTCCACTTATTTCCCCAGAAGTTCCTCTCACGTTTTCTATTGAAATGTTAATGTGCAATGGTGGATGGAAACTTATTGTGGTGGTTAGCGGTGAAACAGACCTATTATTATCAATCAGACAGGGCACTGCTTTTCAGTCTGGTGTTAAGTTACTCTTTAAGCTCAGTCCTCTGTAAGATGGACAGAAGAAGTCTACTAATAGCGACACTAAGTGACTGTATCACATCTTGTGTGTACTGTGTGTGTAACTTCATGTTTCTGTGTGTTGTGTTGTGTTATGCTTTCCTGTGCTGCGAGCCACCCTGCAGTAGTTTTTCATCGTGACTCCAAACTGTAGTTGGAAGTGGGGCAGGTTCTTTGTGGCTGTCCAAGAAGACAGCATCAGGGTCATTGAGTCAGACGTATAGCTAACGATGACGCTACGCTATGTGACTGGGAGCCTCGCTTGACTGACTTCTAGTTAGAGTTGAGCACATATAGTCAGTATAGAAGTGGTAGTATTGTGCGTGTTCATGTATGCGTGACTGTGTGACTGAGGGTCAGAGCGATCACAGAGCATCACCGTGATCAGCATGGACGTGTGATTCATGAGCCCGGACTGACCCAGACCCTTCCTCCTCCACAATGCTCCATTTCCGCCCCGTAAGTAACGGGACAGATGGGCGGTTAGAGAAGATAAACGACAGACAACGGATAGAGGTTGGGTGGAGAAAGAGCGGGGTCACCATCAGAAGCGGGAATTCATCCTGATTGATGTATTTAGCATCTGTATTGAAAGACTGATTGATAGTCAGGCTTTCTATCATTTTTTGAGCTGAACGGCTGTAAATGCCTCGGATGAATGGGCATGGTGAAATGATAAGTCTCTAGAGGGCTTGGCAGGGTGTGTGTGTGTGTGTGTGTGTGTGTGTGTGTGTGTGTGTGTAGTGTGAACTGCCTGAGGTCCGTGTCCTGCTGTGTGTGGCGGCCCCAGTCCTTTCCTGTCCAGACCACACGTCTAACCAAAACCCAATGTGTGTTTACGTGTGTGAGTGTGTGTCAGTGTGTGTTTATTCAAGAGGGTGTGTGTATGTCTTAGTCATTCACAATTCTACTCGAGGCTGCACCTAATGATTATTTATCTCATAGTTTAATCCATTGAATTTAGTAATGTGATTATTAATCTATTACATAATACATCTGTGAAAAATGCAGTAAGTGACTTATCCAGACAAACCTTAGTTTCCAAAACCACAATGACGTTGATTAATTTATTTACATATTTTTCATATTTTCAAATTAATCAATGATTTGTCACATATTCAGAGAACTGACATCTTCAATTTGCTTGTTTTATCTGTCCAACAGTCCAAGAAAAGATAAACAAAAGCAGTAAATCCTCATATTTCTCATCCTTAATTTTCCTTTATTAGTCTGTCATTCATTAGCTTGTATGATATTGGAAAGTTGTAAAAAGTTACATAATTAACTTTATGGTGAGAGTGTTTTTATCAACTGTTGCAAGGGCAGAAACAACGACATTTCCTAATATTGTTTTACATTTACAACATGGGAACATTTCATCTACTGAAGAAGATTATATAAAATATCCAAAAGAGTTTATTTTTTTGCAGTTTCCAAAGTCGAGAACTTTCAATCCTAATTTGTAATGAGTTTCCCAATAATCGATTTATCAGATAAGTCAAATTCAATAACATTTTATTTATATAGCCCAATATCACTTACAGCACTTTTCTCAGGGGGTTTCATAGATCAACAAACTGTGAAGGACTGTGTAAAAAATAATAAACATAAACATAACAACCCAAACCCATTGGACAAAATGGTAATTTGAATGTAGAATTGAGAAAAAAAAGTTTTTAAAAAAAATACAGAAAGCCCTACGATTCTATCTACTTCCTCTTCCCATCATCCTTTTAAATCTTGTACTTTTTTTTATTTAAATCGTTTTGGCTCCAATATATTCTGTTCAATCTGTCTTCTTTCTGTTGGATAAGCGTCTCAAACAAGTAATGGATTATCAGAATAGTTGTTTCAAATCCCAATAATGTAAATAGCCCAATAGTTAATCTCCTTGTACCTCCTTCACCTCTCCATCATACTTTCACATCTAATCATTTCATTTTTAAAACTTTTTCTTCAGCCTCCCATGTGCGCACTCCATCTTCTCAACCCAATCTGTGATTTTTCTTAAAATAGATTCTGAGATTTCCCCGCTGATATCAGTCAAACGGGCACCTAAAGGAGAAGGAGAAATAAGCAGTGAAATCCCGGCCTCCCCCCTTCCTCCCTATTCTTCCTGCCTCTCTCCGCTGCCAGCAGACAGTGTGTTTCTCAGCGTTGTGGAGATTATAGCGGGGAATGACAAGCACGCCGTCTGATACCATATCCGCTCTGAATTACAGATCAGCCCTTTTTAAATGATATTTTAAATACTTGCTGCAGGCTGCGAGTTTTCACAGGGTCTTATTTCATTGTTATTATACTAGTACCATATTTTGTTAGAAAACCAGTGTTGGCGCTTATTTAAATGAGGGAGAGCCGATATACACTCCAGTGTGTTTTTACTGTGCCACTTTGGAAAATCCCCCCCTATACTCCTCACATACACCCACCACCCCTTTTTTCTCCTTTTTTTTAAACTGTGTGTTCTTGGTGGGAATTAAAAGGGAGCAGTGTGAAGAGGACAAAAGAGAAAGGACAAATTGTAATTAGTTTGATTTTGTGTGTGTGTGTGCTTGGCTGTGAGGTTGGTGGAGCCCATTAAGGGTTAGATTCCCACACAGAAAGAAGACTGAGGCTTTGATTACCTCTCTCATGTGTTAAAGGGGGAGCCTTTCTCAAAAATAGGCAAGGATTTGACTTGAATTGTTTCACCGTCGATCATTGAAAAATGTCCCTTTGTTTTTCTTTGTTTTTTTTTATGTGGAGAGTCTCGTTTAAGATTGTAGAAGAAAGAAGAAGAAAAAGATGAAGAAAAAGAATCTGAAGAAGAAGAAATAAGAAGAATACTAAAACAGGAGAAGAATAAAAGTATAATAAATACTATTTTAAAACGCTATAACTGGCTGCCATTACTTTTTCTATGTTCCACTTCCTTGAATGTGTATTTATTTATTTTTTAATTAACGTGTGCTTGCCTCTTGGCCCTTGCATCTTAATATCTGTTTTCTGTGTTGTCCCCTAACAATGTAAATGTCCCCTCTGTGGGACAAATAAAGGCTCTCAGAAGAAGAAGAAGAAGAGGCAGAAGAAGAAGAGTGTGTGTAGTTAGCGTGGGGGTGTGCTGGGTGGCGCTGTTGCCCCAGCCATGCTCCTCCTCTCAGATTAAAGGTCCCTCGGTTTCAGTCGAAGGCTCTGAGCTCTTTGTGCTTTGGTGTTTCATGATGGGATTCTCTGGAGAGCAGAGGATGGAGAACGACACTCCTTCCCCCTCTAACCCTGTCTCTCTCGCTCTCCCTTTTCCTCTCCCTCTCTCCCCCCTCTCTGCTGGAATACACCCTAACCTTGACATATTGAGAATGAAAACGACGGTTCCACATCCCATGCTCGCTTGTTGACAGCGTTAACGCTCTTTTCATGTGTGTTTTGATAGCTGAAAATGAACCATATTAGAGTGTTTCGAGAAATTATGTTTAGTGTGTGTTTGTGTGTGTGTGCGAGGACATGCAATGCCTTAAA